GAAATGGTAAGTTAACCAACAAACATGGTGATTGAGCGAGAAAAACATGTGGTTTACTGGGATTCTAATGGGGTTTTAGTGGGATTTATAAGGATCATAGTAACTCCCACAAAGAGGATTCTATGTCGATTCAATGTTTCTTTGTTCCTGGGGGATGCTACGATACAATCTGAGAAAATACAGTTAGTTGGAATATTTCATGATATGTCTTGTGAATTCCTCCATTGATTCTACCTTGATTTCTTACCAATGAAGTGGTTGATTCCAACAAAGGCGTTTGGTTATAGTACATCAAAACATTTTGAAGTGTACTTTGACTTCTGATCTTTAGGACAAGTTGTTTGTTTATTTCCAAAGTGCTTAGTTCAAACGTGGGATACGTTATTTCATCAAGGGTTACACAGGACACGTTCGCATGGCATGTCCCAGGTATGGGTACATCTTCGCATGAACTTGTCCACTTGGTTGAAGCGAAGTCCCTTGAGCCATGGTGGTTTCACAATGTTTTGAACGTATACACTTTCAGTTTTGGCAATCAACCTTTTTGTGCTGGGAAGTGTTAACCCACAAAGCTATCGCTGTTGTCATGATGGTCAATACTAATGGCAGTATCACCATTGCTCTCGAAAACCATAATCATTGTCATCATGTTTCATTACTGATATACTGTATCACTGCACACCTGTTTTTTTCTTTAAATATGTATATACAAATATATACAGTATATATTTACATACATCGATCATCATCGATCTGGTTAGTGGTTTCAACCCCCGGAGGAAAAAACAAAACATTAGCCAATCAAAACTATCATCTATCACGTGCTTGGGGCCTTGCTAGTCCTTGGCTCCCAATCTTGATATAAGCATAGCTCCGAACCGCAGCTCCCTCTATTCACCATTGGAGAGTAAATGTACTTATGGATGTGTATGAAAATAGGCTACCCTGTTCACCGGTGATTCATCAATTCATCATTATTCCTATGAAACAAGGCTACGGCTACAGTTGGGGTTTTTCAGTCCACCAATAAAAAAGGTCCACACCCAACTATCAAGTTGGTTGATAGTTTTCCCGGTTATTCCCATGAAATCATATCATACATATATATATATATATATATAAATCCCCAAGTTACGGGGCTCACTGCCAATCTAACCATAGAAATCCGGCCATCGGGAAAAACACTGGGCTCTTCCGGCCGGAGCCGAGGCCGCTGCCTTGCAACTGGTCCAGAATCTCAGCGCGCACGCGAGGGGTTGGGGGGCCCCTGTGAGAGAATCTAGGGAAAAATTAAGGAAAAACCCGAGAAAATGTGGGAAAAGCAAGGGAAAACCAAGGGGAAACCAAGGGAGGGTGGATCGAATCAGGGCATTGTAAACACCAAACACCAGAAACAATGCATTGTACACACGGGATGGAAGGATAGGGATTCTACCAACATGGGGACAATGTCCGGGAATAAAACATATAAAACATATCATAAGATTGGAATTTCATGGGTGATTCATCAACAAACACAACCAGAAATAACATGAAATAACCATAAGGGGGAGATCTTCCAGAAAAGTGCCAGAGTTAGGTCATCAACTAGCCATGACATGGCTAGCTCTTGGCTCTTGGGTGTTTTCTTAAGGTTTAGACCCCTTAAACCCATACCTTAGCAAACATGCGCAAACCACACTTTTTTACTATGTTTTTGACCAAGAATGAAAAGACTGGAGAATGACTGTCTCCACTCGTCACATTATGTTTAACCTTAGGTGCAACAAAAACTTGAACATATCTTATTTCTGATCTTTAATGCCAAAGAAACAGTATACACATATATGGCTATAGGTCAAAAGCCTGGAACAGGCCCCCAGTCATATGGAATTATAATGTATTATGTTATAGCTTTTAATCCATCTACATCTATTATCATATATATATATATGCGTATATATATATATAATATATATATAATCATATATAATTATACGTGTATATATATATATATAAGTACATAAATATATACATATGATATGCATTCAATAGTTCATACACAAATTGAAACATCACCCTATCACCTTCAGATTTCATGAGTACCCGGACGCATCGGCGAGTGCCTCATCCTCACTATCAGCTTCAGCATGTGGGCTCGGTTCCTCGGATCCGAGATGGACGGCAAACCATGGCAAAATCCATCAAAATGTCATGGTTTATCATTGTTTCCGATTAAACTTTCTTAGTTTTGGGATGTCAAAAGGCATGTTTTTAGTTTTGAGTATCCGTTTTCAGACACACCCACCTGCAAAACGACCAAAACCACTGGGGCTTGCAACACAAACCAGCCCGGGCTTCCGGACCGGCGACGATGGCACTGTACCTCGGTCTTGTGGTTGGTGCAACAGGTCTGAACCTGAAAATCGGGCATTTACCCCCAGTACCAGCCTATTTATGGCAAATTTTATGGCCATTTTTATGGCAAAATGATGTTTTAAAGGGTTTAAAACCATGACATTCGGAGATATTTGGTGGTTTCCCCCAAGTTTGCATCCAAATCCAAGCTGAATCCCCCGGAATTTGGATTTTTGCAAACTTATGTGGCCCAATCTCATTACGCCCCCAGCAACTTCGGTGGGATATCGACCATCCCCGGGAGGTGGTTGGTGGTTGACCTACCCCTCTGAAAAATGATGGAGTGAAAGTCAGATTGGATCATCATCCCAACTTCCCAACTATTGGGGAAAATAAAATTCATGTTCCAAACCACCAACCAGCTAAGATTTACGTAAAATTCAACCAAATTTGGGGTCAATCCCCTGGTTCTGGCCCTTTTCTTCCCACATTCTGACGAAAAAAATGTATCACATGTATCACCCATTCAGCAAGCTATCCAACCTGGTTTTTGTTTGGGTCATAAAAATGGGATAAACAAACACCAACTCCTAAATCCATCCTGCCTCTGGTGTGCCGCCCCTTGCATCGTGACCAGTTCCTGTAACTAGGGCGCCAACTCTCCGCCTTGTAGGCACTGGGCACCTTGGTGGGTGATAGTTTTTGACCGCCAAATGGTCAGATTTCTGAATGATGACATGGTGATAGTTATTATTGTTGTTGTATTGTTGGACTTATAGCGACTGTAGTAATGATGGTGTTGATGAAAATGATGATAAACGTAATAATGATAGTGATGATGATGATGATGATGGTGGTGGTGGTGATGATGATGATGATGATGGAAATGAAAAGTGATTATGACAATCATCTGATGATGATTATGATGACGATAATGATGATGGTGATGATGGTGTTGTTGATGATGATGATGATGGTGGTGATGATGTTGATTCTTAAGATGATGATGGTAATGATGGTAATGATAGTGGTGATGATGATGATGATGATGATGGTGATGATGATGATGATGATGATGATGGTGGTGGTGGTGGTGGTAGTGGTAGTGGTAGTGGTAGTAGTGGTGGTGGTGGTGGTGGTGGTGGTTATGGTGAATAGGGTATTTTGCTGATGTAACTATATATATATATAGAGATAATGCTATATAGTATTATATAGTAATAGTGTGCTTGGTATGTACTAGTAATAATCATCATATTCATAATCACCATTGCGACAGTATTTATCATGGTATCTTACATATTCTAACATTATTGTCGGCAACATACTAAAATACTACTATCACAGTATCTTGATGTCAAGGTGTACTCATACTTGTCTAGTTATTCTGCATGGTTGAAACCAATAATGTTGCAACAACCAGTGTTGTAACAACAAGCCTATTCAGTGGTGAGACCAAAAACGGTTCTATATAAATTACATGTAAAACATTCCCCTCGAAATGTCGCAAAGTCTTGCAAAGACTAGATGATGACCTTTAGGTTTTTGCTCATTTCTACTACACCAAATTTCCCCCAGGATACTGGACAGCGTCGCACTTTTTTCATAGCTGCAAAGCCAGAAACGAAACCAAACTCGGCAAGTGCCAAAGCAAATGCAAAACAACAGAGACGGAGGGGAGGGATTCACTCATGAGATGACGATGTATAGCCCATCTAAGACGACTTGCCAAAACTCAGCTCACATTGAGGTCTCCAAGAATTGTCCCCATTCTTTATCTACAGTCTGTGTTTGCACAAAAAATGTGATGGCTCTTGGAATCATTCTGTGCAGGTTTCACTGAACGGCAAAACACTTGCCATGCCCAGAGAATGTTCACTGTCATCGTTGACCGAACGGAACTGAAAGTATGGAAGCAACTTTGGAGCACGCATATGGCTATATGTCGAAACCCAGGTACCGTGGTCTTCACACCAAAAATAAGGTGTATTGCTGGATGCTCACTCCCACAAGAATGGTTCGGTAAAGTAACAGCTGGAAACAACTGTGCTATCTTGAACTGCAAGTCCTGTTACAGTAATTATACTGTTAGTATCTGTTAGTAAAGCAATAATACACCACCCATATGTTGATGGTTTATACCAGCGATTATGGTAAATTTGAGGATGGTTGGTTGACTATTGTTTTACTAACATCATATTTGTACTGCACATCTGATTACTCCTCGAGCTGTCTTGGAGCCATAGGATATTTTTCCTGCGAATCCCTCCCTTGCATCTTGGGAACCACGAAACCAGCTGGCAGCATGGGAATGTCTGAAATTGCAATGCGTCTACCGGGCCTGCTGTCTTCTTACACTTAGTGGATTAATCTTCAATGGAACCACAAATTATTGAGTTAATCTTATCCATGAATTGTACTTTCCACCTATATTGGACTGGAACCATCCCCCAATTCAATGGGTTCATCTAATCAAACTTTGATTATAGTTGGTTACTGTTATAAATTGCACTCCATGCCTATGAAGATCCCAGTTTCTGCTTATCTTGCTTATCCCATGTCCGCGGGAGACAGCTTTCTGTCCCTGTTTCTGACATGCCCATCTTCAGCCAACACCCCACTTTCATCGGGTGGGAACGTCGGGCACCCGCTTTGAAAAGGACGAGGAGCGCCTGCAACAACGGGCAGGACTGGACCCTCCAGGAAACCATAGGAACCTCCTGGGAAAATCCAGGAAAGCATAGGAAAGAAAGGAAATTCTGTACTTATATATATATATATATATTAATATATATCTTTATGTTTTTAAATAACACATAATAAAACACTCAGATTCCTGTAGTTTTTTCATTAAACCAATCTATTGAGGATAGCGAATCACGACTCATGTGAATATGACCTCAACTTGCACAAAGCATTGAGAATCAGGCCGCGTTGAGGATTTATCAAGTGGGCTTGGGTCAAAATTAAAGCCCCGGGGGACGGCAGAACATATATTTTCATTATTGGTAGTACTGTAACCATCCAATAAGGCTACTCAATTTTGACCCATACCCAAGTAGCACAGCTCCCAATTAATTGAAAGGGGCAGGGATGATTGAGCATAGGTCAGTATCGAAAACACAGAAAAAAAAACAACTTTTATCACTTTGATGTATAAAGCATTCAATTTTGGAAGTCAGACCGAAAATGTTCACCCATCCTGAAATAATGGCGAATCCTTGTCACATGTTCCCTTTTACACGAAGAAATTGAGACTAAAACATTACAGTAATGATATCATAAAATAATACTGTGAATATATATAATTATATGTATATATATATATGGTGTGGGAAAATAAAGAATCAACCTCCCATTTGGGGATAATTTTAATCATCCATAGAAATTGTGTTTTTGTTGGTGGATTTTATGGCAGCTCTCCCCCGCCTTGGCTGTACCTTCATCAAACCTTGATAGCCATCGCCGGCAGCTTCTCCATTGGCGCCCTGACGAAGCAGAACAGGTCCGGTTTTTTTGGCCGGGAAAATGATGAAAAACATACCAGTAGGGACCTCAAGGGATCGAAAGTGGTTGATAAGAATGAACAACTCGATCTATTTGATGTAAAAAAAATAGACCAGTGGGCAATACTATAAGAAGTAGACAACTGGGGTACAAGATCATATACATACATATATGTATATAGACAATTATATATCTATACTGTGTATATATATATATATATTTGGGTAAAACGCACATGGTCATTATGTTGACCACGTACCAACTGGAATGAACATTCAAGTAAGGCCAACCAATTGGATATACCTATTGCAAATCCAGACCTGGTCGGATATACCCGCTGCCATTCAATTCTTGGACATAGCTACAAGAACCTCGAAATAGATAGAATAATTTCTTACAGGATGTTACAAATGATGTGTACCTTTACAGAAAACACATACTTTGAAAAACAACTCCAGTCATGCAATGGTTCTATCTATGTGGGATTGTTACAGCCTCAAAAAATGGGCACCTCAACCCCATCCACTGTTCTACTGGTGTTCAACCAACCAGTTAAAGTTCGCATTCACTCCTGTCAATTTCCATGAATTCCCACTCAAATCATCTTAAATCACCATCAAATCCCAATTCAATCCCAATAAATCACCATCAAATCAGCATCAAATCCCATTAGATCCCATTGAATTCCATTAAATAACCGTTAAATCCCATTAAAACCCCATTAAATACCATCAAATCACATTAAATGACCATCAAATCCCAGGCATTTCCGCACCTTGGCGTCGCGCCAGGTCCGCTGCTTGGGACCCACGTAGAGCTGACGCGGCCGGCCGATGCGCATCTGACCCTCGGCCACCTGGGCCGAAGGGGCCGAAATCGATAAAGAAAAGAAAAACAATGGCCTAATAATGGCCTAATAATTGCTTGATACTGGCTTGATAATGGCCTAATAATGGCTTAATAGTGGCTGAATAATGGCTTAATACTGGCCTAATAATGGCTTAATAATGGCCTAATAATTGCTTAATAATGGCCTAATAATGGCCTAATAATTGCCTAATAATGGTTTAATAATTGCCTAATAATGGCCTAATAATGGCCTAATAATGGCTTAATAATTGCCTAATAATGGCTTAAGAATGGCCTAATAATGGCTTAATAATTGCTTAATAATGGCTTAATAATGGACTAATAATGGCCTAATCAATGGCCTAATAATGGCCTAATAATGGCCTAATAATTGCCTAATATTTGCTTAATAATGGCCTAATAATGGATTGCATAATAATGGCTTAATAATGGCCTAATAATGGGCTAATAATGGGCTAATAATGGCCTAATAATGGCCTAATAATGGTTTAATAATTGCCTAATAATGGCCTAATAATGGCCTAATAATGGCTTAATAATTGCCTAATAATGGCTTAAGAATGGCCTAATAATGGCTTAATAATTGCTTAATAATGGCTTAATAATGGACTAATAATGGCCTAATCATGGCCTAATAATGGCCTAATAATGGCCTAATAATTGCCTAATATTTGCTTAATAATGGCCTAATAATGGATTGCATAATAATGGCTTAATAATGGCCTAATAATGGGCTAATAATGGGCTAATAATGGCCTAATAATGGCCTAATAATGGTTTAATAATTGCCTAATAATGGCCTAATAATGGCCTAATAATGGCTTAATAATTGCCTAATAATGGCTTAAGAATGGCCTAATAATGGCTTAATTATTGCTTAATAATGGCTTTATAATGGCTTAATAATTGCCTAATAATGGCCTAATAATGGCCTAATAATGGCTTAATAATGGCCTAATAATGGCCTAATAATGGCCCAATAATGGCTTAATAATCGCACAATAATGGGCTAATAATCGCCTAATAATGGCCTAATAATGGACTAATAATGGCTTAATAATGGCCTAATAATTGCCTAATAATGGCCTAATAATGGCCTAATGATGGCCTAATAATGTAATGGCTTAATAATGGCCTGATAATGGCTTAATAATGGCTTAATAATGGCCTAATAATGGCTTAATAATGGCCTAATATTGGGTTAATAATTGCCTAATAATGGCTTAATAATGGCTTAATAATCGCCTAATAATGGCACCCTAATGGCCTAATAATAGCTTAATAATGGCACCCTAATGGCCTAGTAATGGCTTAATAATGGCTTAAGAATGGCCTAATAATGGCTTAATTATTGCTTAATAATGGCTTAATACTGGCTTAATAATGGCCTAATAATGGCTTAATAATGGCCTAATAAAGGCCTAATAATGGCTTGATAATGGCCTAATAATGGCCTAACAATGGCCTAATAATGGCTTAATAATGGCCTAATAATGGTTTAATAATGGCTTAATAATGGCCTAATAATGGCCTAATAATGGTTTAATAATGGCCTAATAATGGCTTAATAATTGCCTAATAATGGCTTAATAATGGCCTAATAATGGCTTAATAATGGCCTGATAATGGCCTAATCATGGCCTAATAATGGCCTAATAATGGCCTAATAATGGCTTAATAATGGCCTGCTTAATAATGGCTTAATACTGGCTTAATAATGGCTTAATAATGGATGACTAATGATGATTAATGTGGTTAAACCAATAATAAACCAAATGATTTGGGAATGGTTTATATACACCACCTATTTATGGTGATTTGGGGGATGGTTTATTATTGTTTTAACCACATTGCTATAATAAGTATTAGTACTTAAGTCATCTTAAGTCTAGTATACTTAATATTCTTCAATGATATTAACTGTATGATTTCTATGAGTACTATGATAAAGATCTATTAAGTATATTAAGTCTACACAATACTACGCAGTTGTGGGTGCTTAATTAACTTCAAACCCAGCCAAACCCAGCTTGACTTCGGTGAAACCACCGATGATGCACAATGGAACAAATCATCGCCGATATATGCTTTATGACCCTACAGTACGTTCTCCTGTTAGTGAACCATGGTTAAAAAAACTTAACGATATGATTCAGTATGAGTGGGAGTATGGGAGCATTGAAATAGTACGAGCTGATGATTTGGAAAAGTGCTTCAAATACCAACAAACATGTGGTATGCAAATGTGACAGGGAATGCGACCCATGAATTGTGAGCTGAATTGGCGGCCAACAGTGGATGGTTTGCTCCAGATCAACAGTCCGCTTCATCCCAACCCATCTTTTTTTAGGCTGAGAAACCATCTCGTTCCATTGCGAGACCCATCCCACAGTCCGTGACATTGCAAACATCACCTCAGCGCTGACAATTTGCCAGATGAATTCACCGGGCAATTGATGCTGCCGTCAACGAAGCCGAGGTGCTGTAAACATGGATGTGGGAATGCCAAGTGCTCGTAGCATGATGCCAGAGTAGTAATCCACATTGGGATAAAGCTTCCTCTGCACAAAGTACTCGTCGTTCAAAGCCACCTCTTGCGTACGTGGTGGGGTCGTCCCATGAAACATCATGAAACCCAACTGGGACTTCGGGACCCGGGTCTTGGTGTAGGAAACAAAAAGACATATCAGGACTGAGGCTTCAACCAACAAACTCTTGAGCAATTTTGGAACTACGATATCCTTCAAGTTGATTTACCTATGCAAAATGATGATTTTCTATATATAGTATAGTATAGTTATGTTATGTTAGTTTACCAGAGGGTACCGTATCACAACTATGATGTGGTTGGGAACTGTTGGGAACTCAATTCCTAGCTCCAGAAAAACGACTTGGTGCACTCAACCCAGTCATCGCGAAGGTTTCTGGCAGCACATTGCATGCACTACTCAGTAATCCCGGGAAAAAATATGAATCGCCATGGTGAAAATCCTGGGTTTAGCTGTCACCGTCTTATCCCCATACATCGCCATAATCTCCACAGCATACCAAAAAAACTCACCTGTTCAAGCCTCGACGTCGCGCACGATGGATTTATCCAGATGATTTATTCCAATACCCCAATAAATCACTGGTTGGTGGTTGACTAACCATCTTGAAAAATATGAAAGTCAATGGGACGGAGTATCCCATATATTATGGAAAAATAAAAAATGTTCCAAACCACCAACCAGATAGTAATGTGGTTAAAACAATAATACACCACCCCATGTTTGATGGTTTGTACCACCCATTTATGGTGAAATTGGGGATGGTTTATGACATTGTTTTTACCACGCTAACTCTCCTCTGGTGGATAATAATTCCATTATCCTCTGGTAGTATATTCCAATATCACCCAATGTCCCAATATAGATGCATGATAAACCATGATACTATTCCAATACATCATGGTGATTCCAATATATTCCATAATATCCCAATAAATCACCAGGTTGCACTATAATATAACTATAAAGCATCATAGTTTCACCTCTGGTGGTTGAATCAACATCTTTTTTATAGAAGAATCACCGCTGCTGCTGGGCGCCTTTTCGAGCTCTTGGGCCACCTTCAACAAGGGATCGTCGATGCCCAGCTCCTTGAGCACCTGCAAGAAGGGAGGTCTTTTTTTCGGGCACGCCAGGTGTAGGTGAAAAAAGCTGGTTTGGTTTAAGGAAGACATGACATCTATAGGCAAATAGTTTAGTTTCTGGAAACATGATGGAACATGATGGAACATGTATATTTATGTATATTTCATGTATCATCATCTACAAATTCTAAAATAACCCGTTCCCATTCACCAACCATTCACCAACTGGTTGACCTAGAAATGGCGGGTTGTGTCCAGCGCGCCTGCGTCACCAGACCTTTCATCACTTTGGCCCTGGGGTCCTAAGTTTCCCCAGCATTGGACCGGGGAAGCGCGGAGATATCTCCGGGCAGGAAATCAACCTGAAATCCAGAAATCATCCTGTTTCAGGAGAGATCAGTTGGCTGGAACAAAAACCAATTGGTTAAAAAACTCCTAACCTCCGGACTAGATACTGGTCAACAATGATGCTGGAACCATTTTCTTAGGAGTTGTTAAAACAACTAGTTGTTTTCATGACCAAATGAGATAGTTGTGAAATGTTGTGAATGTCCTTAAATGATGCTGGTCAACCCAAAATGGGTGTACCAAAGATATGTATCATGTCTTGGGGGACACAAACTGACAGAGTAGCTCTTTTTGCCTCCCCATGGCAGATCCCCATAGCAAGAGCCTATCCACCCCACATTGGCACTGACCAAGAGCCCTGGAAAAATAATCGATTGATTTACACCCTGGTAAGTTTGCGGAACATCATCATGAATACAGCGATTTATCGAACTAAATGGGCCATGGCTTCATGGCTTCAATACCACTGCCAGCAGGAGAAACCACCCCTGGGATCTATGTATGTTCATCGATTATTTGGCGAATGGATCAAGATTGAAGGCCCAGGGGATCGTAGATTCCATGAATTTTTAGTGTTGCCCTCCTGTAAACTAACAGTTCGATGTGGAAAATAACACCGTTTAAGTAGATCACTTTCCTGAGGAAACCATAGCATGATGGGTTTTCCACATCTTAGTTTACCCCGTAACCATCCATCCCTCCGTCCCTGCGTTCGGCTAAGTCGCGTAGTTCTTGTAGACGCGGTGCCCAAAGCCCATCAAACGTACACCCTCCTGGTGCGCGACAGGGATGACTTCCAACTGCAGATTTGCCAAGGTTTTTTCAAACATACCTGGCATTATGATCTGGTTGGTAGTATACCTACCCCCCTGAAAAATATTAGTCAATTGGGATGATTATTTCCAATATATGGAGAAAAAAAAATGTTCCAAACCACCAACCAGTGATTATTGTTATTATTATATATTATTATTGTTATTGTTATTCTTAGTGTGGGAAACCCTGGCTGCCATAACTGGGGATGGTTTTTCTCACACCCATTAGAATGGTAATTTGGGGATGGTTTATTCATTGGGTTTACCACATGATTGTTTAATATGATGTTCAAAGTACAATGCATACCTGGCACAAATAAATGTTCAAAAAAATGACAAGGACAAATCTGACGCGTCGAACAAAATACTTGGCATGTCTGAGGGCGTAAAGATGCTGTTTTGCCCCAGGCCAGTATGGAAAACATGGGCACAATAGTGACACTCATCATATCGGCTAAAGCATGGAATATATTTCAAACAACAAGAAATATGTGACCAGAATCACAATTAGTTCTCAACTAATTGGCAATTGGGATTTAGCCAGAGTTGAAGGAATGGATACCATTTCATGACGGAGAATGCACAAAACGTTTTAAGCCACCAGCCAAAATTTGTTTCCATCAAAAACAACATCTGGAAAACACAGTTTGCAACGGACATGTCCATCACCTTATATCAATTCAAACAATGAATCATCAGCCTATTTCTCGGGTTTGTTTCAGTCCATCTTTTCAGACCAATTACATCCAATATCATCCAATTAGAATCCCCCAAAGCAAAATAAAGCTGCCATTGGAAGCCTTCTAGATTGACTATTCTCAAGATCCAACTGTTGGGAGATGGCAATACCATGGAGCTACCATGGGGGACAATACATGTACAGTCACCATCACCATGTTTCAATGGATCCATTTACCATCCGGTAAACAAACAGTTTGCTATTGAAAATGGCCCAGTCGAAATAGTTGATTTACCCATTTTCATAGCATGGTGAGTTTCCATCGTTTTTTCGTATGTTTACCAGGGGGTAGAGGAAATCTTCAGGCCATGTGTGCGCCATGATCGTGCCGTCGAAACATGGATGGATTGATGACGATCCTCCAAAAACTGGCCAATTCACCACATTTTTGAGCTTCCGAAAACCGCCGTTTTTGTTAGATCACTTATCAAATCACCATGAAAATCATCTGAAATCACCCTAAATTCCCATGAATTCACCATGAAATCAATCATTTCCCATGGAAATCACGATAAAAGTCATGAAATGTCCATGATTTTCCATGGAAATCGCCGACCCCCAAAAAGGCACCCGGAACGACCCCGGTCAACGGGTGCCGGCCGGCACCTTCTTGGCCTTGACATCGTTGACGAAGGTGGGCACATTCTCCGCGGAGCCGATCTCCTCCAGCATTTTGATGACCTCAGAAGCGCAAAAAGTTCTGGGCAAACCGGCAAACGTACATGTTTTGTGTAATACGAATATAAATTATATGTATATATATATGTGTGTATATATATATATGTATATGTATATGTATATATATATATGAATATGTATATGTATACATATATATAAATATATATGTATATGTATATAAGTATATATATATATGTATATATATATATATGTATGTATGTATATATATATATATGTATATGTATATATGTATATATGCATATGTATGTATAAATATATATATATATATGTATATGTATATATATATATATTTGCTATGAATCACACTTACCCCAAACTATGGTATATTGATCAAATAACTTACAGATACTTACAGTATCTATGCCTATCTATGTCTAATATCAAGTGTTTGGCATTGACAATTGGCCTACTCATATCGGAAAATGGATGGAAATGGTATGTTTGTGAAACATGAAACATGCGTCTTATCAAAAATTGATGTTCATCCCGATTTAATTCCATTAAAACTCCATCAAATCTCCTTAAAACTTCATTAAGCCAATCTCCATGAAATGTCCGTGAAAGCTCCCTTAATTCCCCATCAAATCCCCATTTAACCACCATGATATCCCATTCTGATTGGTTAATCGCATCAAATCTCCATGGTTGTTAAAGCCTCCATGTTTCATCAATTAAAATCCACATCAAATGTCCATTGATTCACACGAAAAAACGATGAAAAATCCCATTGTTCATCACCATCAATCCCACGAACAATTCTCTATACACCACGGTGAGCTCATCATGGTATAAAATGTATAAATCTATATGATTATATTTATTAAAAAAATATGTAATCTATGATACTATACTATTATACTAGGATTATATAATAATAATAATCTATGATACTATACTATTGTACTAGTATGGTTATTAAAAAATAAAAATAAAAACCCAGAGTTTTCTCCATGTTTTTCTCGTTGCAAGTCTCAGGCACCGCCTCGTTTGCACCACCATGAGCAGGGCCCCACAGCGATGCTACACCTGGTGATAAACCTGGTAAAACATTGTGATTTCATAAGATTTCGTATAGATCTAATGGCATTTAATGAAATTTAATTGGATTTAATGGGATTTATTGGAATTGAATGATATTTATATAATGATATTGAATGAGATTTAATGGGAATTCGTGGTGGTTTACCGGAGATTTAATGGAACATTGACGGATAATGACCCAAATTGACTAGTACAATGGATTGGTTTTGTTGGGAGAATCTTACCGAAGGAAGTTTAGAAGTCAAACTTCCGACAATATGGACAAGTGAAAAGCAGAGCAGGGAAGAGGCAGAGAGAAGAGAAAGATTAGAAGAAAGAAGAGTAGAAGAGAAAGAGTAAGAAGAAATAAGATGCAGATGCAAGAAAAGGTAGGAAAGTCGCGAAACACTGTGTTTTTCCAATGATTTGGGGCTCCGGAGGGTCGAAAAGTAGGCTCCCTAAAGTGGCGGGTGCGGAGCCAGCTTGCCAGAGGAGAGATGAAAAATTGCACGCCGTTGTGGCGCGAAGCACATTTCCAAGTCAAAATGTACAAACACTAGAGTTGCGCACCACTTTTGGCAGTTGAGATGTCGAAAAAGTGCACGCCGTTGTGGCGCGAAGCACATTTCCAAGTCAAAATGTACAAAGCACTAGGGGTGCGGACCACGTTTGGCAGTTGAGATGTCGAAAAAGTGCACGCCGTTGTGGCGCGAAGCACTTTTCCAAGTCAAAATGTACAAAACACTTGGGGTGCGGAACACTTTTGGCAGTTCAGATGTCGAAAAAGTGCACACACCGTTGTGGCGCGAAGCACATTTCCAAGTCAAAATGTACAAAACACTTGGGGTGCGGAACACTTTTGGCAGTTGAGATGTCGAAAAAGTGCACACACCGTTGTGGCGCGAAGCACATTTCCAAGTCAAAATGTGCAAAACACTTGGGGTGCGGACCACTTTTGGCAGTTGAGATGTCGAAAAAGTGCACGCCGTGGTGGCGCGAAGCACATTTCCAAGTCAAAATGTACAAAACACTTGGGGTGCGGACCACTTTTGGCAGTTGAGATGTCGAAAAAGTGCACGCCGTTGTGGCGCGAAGCACATTTCCAAGTCAAAATGTACAAAACACACCATGTACGGACCATTTTTGGAGGTTCAGATGTCGTTTTGCGTGGCAGGCGCAAGGGATTGTGGACCTTGTCAAAAGTGAACAAAACGTGAGGGTTTTGTAGCATTTTCAACTACAACCACCACTACATTACATTACACTCCAATACATTACACTACACAACAACTACAACTACACCTTCACTACATTCTACTACACTACACTCCACTACACTACACTGCACTCAATTACACTCAATTACATTACAGTACACTACATTACACTACACTACACTCCACTACACTACACTACATTACACTACACTACGTTACACTACATTACACTCCAATACATTACACTACACAACAACTACAACTACACCTTCACTACATTCTACTACACTACACTCCACTACACTACACTTCACTACATTACACTACACTACACTCCACTACATTACAACTACACTACACTACATTCCACTACACTACGTTACACTACACTACACTACATTACACTACACTACACTACCTTCCACTACACTACACTGCACTACACTACATTCCACTACACTACACTACACTACACTACACTAGCTTCCACTACCTTCCGCTACCTTCCACTACACTCCACTCCACTCCACTCCACTACACTGAATGACACTGCACCACAGATGACAGGTAGACAGATAGACAGATAGATAGATAGATGGATAGACAGATAGACAGATAGACAGGTAGACAGATAGACAGACAGACAAACAGACAGACAGATAGATAGATAGCTAGATAGATAGATAGCTAGATAGAGAGATAAATAGATAGACAAATAGGTAGTCAGAGAAGAGAGAGAAAGAGTGAGAGAGATCAATCAGCTTTCGATCCATCAGTGGCTTCGCTCTGCCATCCCTGATTCACCACAACCAACCTCTCCTATAGGTTTCCTATTTTTGAAACTTCCGCCACCGCCTTGTGCGGTACTACTGGTAACCGGGAAACCAATGGAAACCATTGATTTTCCAATTGCAACCATGGGGCTTTTCTGGTTTCAATTTTCCCTTAAACCAATCCATGGATGGCTGGCTGGAAATTCTCCCAACAAATAGGGATTTCATGGGAATTCCTGGGACGAATGTGATAGGACGATCAAACATGGCTGGTTGGAAGTTCCCAAACATTCCAGTGAGGTCTTAAGGAGGTCTCTAGCTGAGAACATCAAAAGTTTCCACGTATTCGACCAAGAAATCTCATGGAATCTGTGTTTTTTTTCATTTTCCAGTACGTGGAAGCAATTGAAACCCCCAAATATTTAAGAATCACCCCCACCTAAAAACCAATGATTACACGATTGCTTGTTCTTGAATCTTTCAAATGAAGGTTATCATTCTTGGGAAGATATTAAGAAACCTCAAAATCCTCAAGAATCATTTATCAATTGTCTAATTATCTATAATTCTATACAGAATTAGCCTTATCTTTTTTTCTTGTCGGAAAACGGAAACCTCTTTTTGGTGTCTCCGGGAAGTTCTCTCCACCGAACCCTGGCCATTTTGATCCCCACCTGCCGCGATGCAGGCGTAAGGATTCGCCTGGGAACTCCCCGCAATTCGCACCGTCGAGGTGGACGCATTCTGCTCCTCAGGTTTCCACTACGAGTGAGCCAGAAATCATAGGGATATCAACCAGCGACCACCAGGTTGAGATAGAAGTTGTTAAGATAGAAATGGGTAAAATCTTAGAAAAAATATGCTAAAATCATCTTTATAAAATCATGGTCATTGATTTTTCTATCTTGGGGGCTACTATACATCCTCCTGACTGTTCACTTTGGGGCACTTTTCAATGTTGAAAAAACATTGAAAAAATATGTTTCCCATCAAAACGGAAACAATTGGTGCCTTTTAGGATCTGGTTGGTGGTACACCTACCCCTCTGAAAAATGATGGAGTTCGTCAGTTGGGATGATGAAATTCCCAACTGAATGGAAAAATAATCGAAATGTTCCAAACCACCAACCAGGGATAAAACCCACAGTTTGAATAGTCACAAGATCCAGGTCTCCAACTAAAATGGCGACCAACAGTTATGACGACGAGGTCTGTTGAATAGGACGACCTGGGATCATGATAGAACCCCACCGTATAATAAAGTACTGTTTGAAACCGTGGCATGGAAAGGTTGAACATATGTATTATATGTATTATATGTATTATATGTATTATATGCATTATATGTATTATGTGTATTATATGTATTATATGTATTATATGTATTGTATTGTATTGTATTCTAGTCTATTCTATTCTATTGTATTGTATGGTATGGTATGTTTGTATGTATGTTTGTATGTCTGTTTGTCTGTCTGTATGTCTGTCTGTCTGTCTGTCTGCCTGTATGTATGTATGTATGTATGTAAGTATGTAAGTATGTAAGTACGTAAGTACGTATGTATGCATGCATGTATGTATGTATGTATGTATGTATGTATGTATGTATGTATGTATGCATGTATGCATGTATGCATGTATGCATGTATGCATGTATGCATGTATGCGTGTATCTATCTATCTATCTATCTATCTATCTATCTATCTATCTATCTATCTATTTATCTATATATATCTATTTATCTATCTATCTATCTATCTAGCTATCTATCTATCTATCTATCTATCTATCTATCTATCTATCTATTTTCTATATATATATATATATGTGTATGTATGTATGTATGCATGCACGCATGTATGTATGTATGTATGTATGCATGTATGCATGTATGCATGTATGCATGTATGCATGGTATGCATGTATGCGTGTATCTATCTATCTATCTATCTATGTATCTATGTATCTATGTATCTATGTATCTATCTATCTATGTATCTTTGTATGTATGCATGTATGTATGTATGTATGTATGTATGTATGTATGTATGTATCTATGTATCTATGTATCTATGTATCTATGTATCTATGTATCTATGTATCTATATATGTATTTATGCATCTATGCATGCATGCATGCATGCATGCATGCATGCATGCATGGATGTATGTATGCATGCATGCATGCGTGCATGGATGTACGTACGTACTTACGTACGTACCACTGCAGGGGGGATATGGGGTCCCACCCTGTTAGCGCGTCAAGCGTCATGGTCCATGTGCAAAATCATGAAGGCATTGATGGCCCTGGCCGCCACCGGGTTCACCTTGTATTCTTCCATGGGGGTCGCAAACATCATGTACCTTGGCCGTGGCATCCGCAGGAAAATCGCCATCATCTGACCTGAAACAAAAATCCCTGCGCCGCCTTGCTCCGCACAAAAAAAAACCTTTCCAAAGTTACAATAGTTGGCGGATCATACTTACATACTAGTAACATCCCTCCATCCATCCATTATGTATGTAATTTATGTAACCTTTAATGGTTGGATGTCATCGGCCCCACGGTTACTTTAAAGGAAGGGATCCAGTGATATCCAGTGGACGACCGGCCGACCCGGCAAGGACGCATCGCATCTTGGCCCATCTCTTGAGGACGCAACCAGTCACGAACTGCTGGTTTCAAGCCCCAAAATTAGATCAGTTTGATCAAAAGTTACCCTCTGGTAAACTAACATAACTATGGAAAATCACCATTTTCAATGGGAAAATCCACTATAAATGGTCATTTTCAATAGCTATGTTAAATTACCAGAGGGTAGTCAATTTGGATCATTCCAGTAAGATGGTTGAAACATACTGTGGAAGAAGAAATCCTGCACCACCTGAGATGCTTGAAAGCCAACAATGGGATGTTTACCACCGTTTTCAACTGGTGCAGGATTTCTCAACCATCCACAGTATGTTGGACAAATGTTGGTAAATATTCCATAGAGCATATGGGTCATGGGATCATGTGGGATATAACTAACCAATCAAACACCAGATCTTCGAGGCACAGGAAATTCTCTGCAAAGCTCAAATCCGCTCGAGGATACATCATGGGTTGACCTGCCCAAAGGTCGATAAGTTCAAGCATGGGAAATCCCCAATGAAAATCGTTGAAATGGAGGTTTCAATAAGTTTCAAAGCAAAACCTTATAGCTAGGAAAAAACAAGAAGAGCAAGCGAGGTTCCATCAAAAGGTAGACAAAGGTAGATGATTGATATGTAGTTATCCTGGAGTAGATATGGAAAATTCAACTTAAATTATCAGTCAAAATTACTATATGATTGAACATCCCAAATTCTATCCACTTCAGGATAGTTATAGATAGGTGGATAACCCAATCTGAACAATATATGTAAGCCATGTAGATGATGGCCCGTTTTTTTTTGTGTCGGTGCCTATGGAGGTCTTGTAGGCCCAGCAAGAGAGCACCTGTGACGGGGACATGTTGATCCTGAGACTGAGTCTTCATAACTCTCCGAAAAGCTGTGTGTGAGATCCCCGTGTTGGGGAAAGCACCAAAAGCTTGTAGGGAAAAAAAGTCATAGGCACAGGAAGGAAAAGAAATGCCAACATCCTGACTTGGAATTTGGAGGACTTTGGGCAATTCCAATCGTTCCATCTTTCCAATCTTTATCTGGTTCACAAGTTGCAAAGGTTTCATCATATTATTCTAATCATATAATAATACTTTTATATGTTTGTTGATCCTTTTCATCATGATCATCATGTTTAAAATCCTTTCCAATCATATTAGCAAAGGTTTCATCATACCATTATAATTATAATTAATGATGACGTATGTTAGACATGTCAGAAAAACCCGGGGCGACGCTGCGTCACGCTTCAAGGGCTCCCAGTGGGCTTTAACCAGGGCTCCCGGCCGGGACTTTTGCAATGAGTCGGGTACAAGCCAGCCATCGGTGCATCTCCTCGGCCAGCCATCTCACGTTTTTATACGGCGATGAGTTGTGAAGGACTGGACTCTGAA